ATAGTATTGAAATTAATTGTTCTTTAAATGTCTCATAGAATTCACTTGTGAATCTATCTGGTCCTGGTGATTTTTTCTTAGGGAGCTGGTTGATGGTTTATTCAATTTCTTTTTCTAAAATAGGTTATTTAAGTATTCTGTTTCCTCTTCTGTTAATTTGGGCAACTTAGATTTGTATTTAATTGGGCAAAATAACTCCTAATAATTGCTTTAATTTCCCCTTCATTGGTGGTTAATTCACCCTTTTCATTTTTGATACTGATAATTTGGTTTCTTTCTTTATTTTTTTTAAAATCCAGTTAACCAGTGGTTCATTTTATTTTACTTTTTCATGAAACCAGCTCCTAGTTTTATTTATTAGTTCAATGGTTTTATTACTTTCAGTTTTGTTAATCTCTCCTTTGATTTCCAGGTTTCCATTTTGTTGTTTAATTGGGGATTTGTAATTTGTTCTTTGTGTAGTTTTTCTTTTAATTGCATGCCTAGTTCATTGATCTGCTCTTTCTCTATTTTATTGATGTGAGTGTTTAGAGATATAAAATCTTCCCTAAGTATTGCTTTGACTGTATCCTACAAATTTTGACATGTTGTCTCATTGTTGTCATTCTCTTTAATTAAATTATTGATTGTTTCCAAGATTTGTTCTTTGACCCACTCCTTCTTTAGGATTAGATTATTTAGTTTCTAATTATCTTTTAATCTATGCTTCCATAACCCTTTATTGAATGTAATTTTTATTGCATTATGATCTGGAAAAAGATGCATTTAATATTTCTGCTTTTCTGCATTTGCTTGTGAGGATTTTATGCCGTAATACATGGTCAGTTTTTGTGAAAGTGCCTTGTACCACTGAGAGAAAGATAAACTCCTTTCTATTCCCATTCAGTTTTCTCCAGAGGTCTATGTTCTCTTACTTTTCTAGAATCCTGTTCATCTCCTTAACTTCTTTCTTGTTTGTTTATTTTTTTTTTTTGTTAGATTTATCTAGTTCTGAGAGGGGAAGGTTGAGCTTCCCCAGTAGTATATTTTTACTATTTCCTCCTGTAACTCATTTAGTTTTTCCTTTAAGAATGTGATTGCTATACCATTTGGTGTATATATGTTGTTTAGTATTGATATTACTTTGTTGTCTATGGTACTTTTTAGCAAAATGTAGTTTCCTTTTCTCTTTCGTTTAGATTTTTTCTTTTGTTTTGTATGAGATCGTGATTTCTACTCCTTTTTTCTGCTTCAGTTGAAGCATAATAGATTCTGCTCCAGCCCCTTACTTTTATTCTGTGTGTGTCTTTTTGCTTCAAATGTGTTGCTTGTAAACAACATATTATAAGATTCTGATTTTTAATCCATTCTGCTATCTACTTCTGTTTCATGGGTGAGTTCGTCCTATTCAATTCAAAGTTATGATTACTGTTTCTCTCCAACCTGCTCCTCCCACACCCCACCCCATTTATGCTTCTCTTCTCTTTCTCTTTTCATCCTGTCCCTCCTCCAAAATGTTTTGCTTCTGACCACTGTCCTCTCCAAGCTGCCCTCCCTTCCATCAGCCCTGACCCCCACCTTCTCTTATTCCCTTCCCTTTATACTTCCATGTAGGGTAAGATAGATTTCTATACGCAAATAAGTGTGTTATGTTATTTATTCCCTTTTTGAACCAATTCTGATGAGATTAAGGCTCAAATGTTGCCTACCACCTCCCTCTGTCCCTCATTTTCTCCTCCACTGTAAAAGCTCTTTTGTGCCTCTTTTATGTGAGATAATTTACCACATTCTCCCTCTCCCTTCCCCCTTCTCTGAGTGTGTCCTTTTATCTCACCTCTTAATTTAATTTTTAAAAAATATCATCTCATCAGTCAACTCACACCTGTGCTCTCTATGTACACTCCTTCTAACTACTCTAATAATAATAAAGTTACAAGTATCATTTTTCCATGTAGAAATGTAAATAGTTGAACCTTATTATGATTTCTCTTTCCTGTTTACCTTTTTAATGCTTCTCTTTAGTCCTATATTTGAAAGTTAGGTTTCCTATTCGGCTTTGGTCTTTTTGTCAGGAATGCTTGAAAGTCCTCTATTTCATTAAAATTCCATTTTTCCTCTTCAAGGATTGTACTCAGTTTTACTGGATAAGTGATTCTTGGATGTAATCTCAGCTCCTTTGCCCACTGAAACATCATATTCCAAGCCCTCCCTGCTCCCTTAATGTAGAAGTTTCTAAATCTCATGTTATCCTGACTGTGGCTCCATGATATTTGAATTGTTTTCTTTCTGGCTGGTTCCAGTATTTTCTCCTAAACCTGCAAGCTCTGGAATTTGGCTATAATATTCCTGGGAGTTTTCATTTTGAGATCTCTTTCAGGAAATGATTGGTGAATTCTTTCAATTTCTATTTTACCTTCTGGCTCTAGGATATCAGGGCAGTTAATAATTTCTTAAAAAATGATATCTCGGCTCTATTTTTGATCATGGCTTTAAGGTAGTACAATAATTCTTAAATTATCTGTGCTCAAACTATTTTTCAGGTTGTTTTTTTCAATGAGATATTTCACATTTTCTTCAATTTTCTTCTTCTTTTGATTTTATTGTCTCTTGGTGTCTCATGGAGTCATTAGGTTCCACTTGCCCAATTTTGATTTTTAGGGAATTATTTTCTCCAGTGAGCTTCTGTACCTCCTTTTCCGTTTGGCCAATTCGACTTTTTAAGGAGTTCTTCTCTTCAGTAGATTTTTGTGCTTTTATCATTTGGCCTGTTTTGTTTTTTTAGGTGTTGTTTTCTTTGCCTCCTTTTTTTTCCCCCTGTGTCCTTTACCAAGCTGTTGACTCTTTTTTAATGATTTTCTTCCCTCACTCTGTTTTTCCTCCCCACTTTTTCTTCTACCTCTCTGATTTTAAAAATCCTTTTTCAGCTCTTCCAGGGTCTGAGACCAATCACAGTTTTCTTTGAGGCTTTGCATGTTGGTGCTTTGATTTTGTTGTCTTCTTCTGAGTTTGTATTTTGATCTTCCCAGTCACCATAGTTCTTTTTTTGTCATTTGCTTGTTTTGCCATCCTGTTTCTTGGCTTTTAGCCTTATGTTAAAGTTGGACTCTGCTCTGAGGGTAGAGGGGTCACTGTTGTTCAGGTTTTTTGTGCTGCTGTTTTCAGAGCTTGTTCTGAGGATCTGTAAGTTTTCAGTTCTTCCAAGGTAGTGTCATCTAAGGAGAGTTGTGGTCACTGCTTCTCGCCCATGCTGTTACTAGTGCTCCTCCAAACCCTGGTACTGCAACCTGGAACCTGCCTGTGCATAATGCAGTGAAGTCCTGCTCCCAGTGCCAGCAAAGGGTTCCCTGTAATCTCCTTCTGACCAGATGTTGGCGCCTCTTTACTGTCTTGGCGGAGGGTTCCGAAAGCTGATTCAGTTGCCCCCAGCATTTATTGCTGGCTTGCCAGATTGGGACCAGCATGGTCAGGGCCTGTGCTAGACGGTGCTTCACCATCACCCCAGAGAGATAAAACTTTCCTGCCAACCTTATAAGTTGTCTTGTGCTAAAAAAATCATTCACCCCATCCCTTTGTTGGTTCTGCTGCTCCAGAATTCATTTTGAGGCATTATTTTAATGTTTTTTGTGGGGAGGAATTTGGGAGAGAGCAGGCAAGTCTCTGCTGTGGCTCTGCCATCTTAGCTCTGCCCTCTGAGAGAATGAATTTAGAAAGGAATGAGTCAAGATTAGAGGGCTGAGGATAGATACAATTCTTTTGTGATCTGCCTTCATTTCTGGAGCAAATACAATTCTTGGTCGTGCAGTTATCCCTTCTACATTGTGACTTTCCCTGTTGTGGTTTCACTATATCACAGGTTGGCATAAGAAATTAAATGGAAATTTTTTGTGAGTTTTGTGGAAGTAGCGGATAACACAGAAGAAGTTTAGAAACTCAGAAAAGCATAAAATAGTATTGTATAATATCAACATATTTTATCTTTTAATACCATAATAATTCAGACTTCTTTTCTGGTATGAAGGGAGGGCCAAAAAAATTTATGCAGATTTTCTGGATCGTGGCACCGCACCTCTAACCCCCGTGATGTGAAAGAGATAACTGTAATCATTTGATGCAAGTTAGCTTTCATTTAGAGTTTTAGGTACACTGTAGTCCCCGGGACCTTGAAAATATTAATTTCTTAAGTGTCTAAGAATTGCCTCTTGTGGAACACAGACTTCAGGATTCCTGGTTACTAATAGAAAATAATCTCACAGTTTTAATGTTCGAATACAGTTCACACTATATTTGTAAAACAATTTTGCCCTCACTCCCTGTTAGACCAGTAAAGGCAAGTCATTTATCCTTCAAGACTCAGTTCATTTCCCACCTTCTTAAGGAGGCCTTTTCCCAATGGGACACCCCCCTCCGCTCATCTTTGAGATCACTTAAGATTTATATTGTCTGTATCTTGCATGGAAATAGTTACTTGAACATTGTCTCCCCCATTAAAATTTGAGCTTTCTGAGGATGTAGTGACCATATTTTGGACTTTCTTTGTATCCTCACTGTTTAGCACAGTATCTGGCATGTAGTAAATGCTCATTATATATCTAACTGACTAAGTCCATATTAATATAGATAAGCAAAAGAGGATTATTTGGTTGCATTGGAGTGGTGTAAGATAATCAGCAGCCCTGGGTCAGTAGACGTCTTTTATAGGAACTAAAACTTCAGTGTACTTTGAAAGGACAAAAGGGACACAGGATTAGAGGGAAGAGGTGGAATTTTTTTCAGTTGTGTCTTTGGAGATAGGAAGAGGAGAATTCTGCAAGAAAATGAGTAAGGTTTTTTTTTTTGGTTGAGGTAGGGGATCTATTACGAGATATGTGTCATGTAGTTAATTAGAGTGGAGCAAGGATCCAAGCATAGGTCCCAGGTATGGGGTTTTGTATAGGATCTGTTGGGTGATAGAGCAGCTGTGATCTCAGACTGCTCAACCATCGTTTCCTTTCATTTACCATTTAAAAATCCTTTTCTTTTAGAACGAGTCACTGACACCAGGTTATCATGGATTTCCAGCGAGGGACAGCCAGGTAGGAATTTATTATTTTGTCTCCAGAGTGGAGTATGTGTAAATGAATATGTTTGTGATATCCATGGATGCTGGGGCAGAGGCCATTTCCTGACATGAATTTTTATTTTCGAGAGTGCTGTGGCTCATTTTTTCAGGCAGACACTTGGAGAGCTGCAAATAGAATATTCTTTTTTCCTGATTTTAGTCAGTGGGGAACTGTAAGAAATGGCTAGATCTATGAAGTACAGTGCTGAGAGTTGAGTATAACAGATTTTCCACCTTTCTTTTTAACTTACCTTATAAAATAATTTCCTGACTTAGGTTTTCAAGTGTCTTACACAAACATGCTTCAAGTTCCCACGCAAATCTTCTTGGCCCTCTAGTCTTTATTTCTGTTGAGACAGTTGCATTCTAGGATTCTCTTTCTTGGAGAATTCAGCACAATGAAAGCATGGACATGTGATGTGGGAAAGGTCCTGCCAGCTTCCTGTTGGATAGGGAATGACAGTGAAGGGAATAGGGTGGGGTGGCATGGCCTGGGTCGGCTGCTTGGCAGTGGGTTGGGGTGGCATGACCTGGCTGCAGGCAGTGGGGGAGGGCCCATGCATTCGTGTGGGATTCCCCAGAAGTGCTTCAGGTGCCATGCCTGCGCACAGGTCCAGGCTCCTTCTAAATTGATAACATTTCTGTTAGGTGAAATTGTGATTCAATTTTAACTGAACACATATTTAAACACTACTTTGTGTAAGGCATTATGCTAGACAATGGCAATACAAAGATGGGGAAACAACAGAATTCCCTGCCCATGAAGGTGTGGAAGTGTGATTGCTTATGTGGGAATAGAGGTTCTAATGTTCTTCTGGTATGAAAATACTAAGATTGAGATTTGCCTTTGTTTCCCCCTCCTGTCTCTTTTAGGGTATTAGAGTTGCAGGACATTGTAATGTCAAATGGTTCTACTGAAATACATCTCTTAGTGTTGGGACAGGATTCTTTGTAGGGCTGCCAAACCATTCCACTACTCATTGGCTTGGTCATCTAATAGGTTCTTTTATGACAGAGGTTCACAGAGTGGGCAATACTGCCCCCTGTGGGGCACTGGAATGATAGGGGGAGGCGGTAATACTCTTGGGCGCAATTGGGGGGCATTGAATAAAAATAAGGGGGCAGTAGAAGCATAAGGAGAGAAGAGAATTTTGAAAAACCATTTGTATATGTTTCATCTGTTGTGTAACAGAGTTAAAGTCATAGTGATCATATTATTTTCCAAATAAACACCCAAAATGCAACGTATAACTGGCCAGTAGTCAAATCCACCGACAGATCTTAACAAGCAAGTGTTGGCAGGCAAGCGTTGCATGCACTGATAGGAAGTCCAGCATGCATTGGCAGGAATATGTGCATGTAATGACTTGTTTACAGTATGATACTGTGTGGTTACATGACACAATATTGTGTTATCAAAATTTCAATGCAGAAAAAACCCACACGTGATAAATTATTAAACTGAAGATGCATCATTTAAAAATATTTTATTTTTTTTTGAAATGACTCAAATTTCAAAAAAGAATCATAAAGGGTTAAAGAAAGTACATTTCCAGGGGGGCGCTGAGTAATTTATTTTTTTAAAGGTGGTGGTAGGCCAAATAAGTTTGGGAACCTCTGCTTTATAGGCTCTATAGCAGTAGATTGAATGCTAAATGGAAGTGTGACGCTTGCTCCCTCTTTTCAGTCATTCAGTAAGCATTTATTAAGCACTTAGTGAATGTGTCATCAAGCATTTATTAAGTGCTTACAATATGCTGTGCTAGGAGCAGCGATAGGAAGGTAAAACTATTCTGGCCCTCAAGGAGTTTATATTTTATTAGGGGGAAAAACATGTTTACATACAAAATAAATACACGGTAATTTTGGTGGGGGAGGTGCTAGCGATGGGGACATCCAGAGAGGATCCAGACAGTTTTCATTTAGATTGCACATGGTATTTGAGCTGAGTTTTGAAATAAACTAAGGGTTTCTAAAAGATGGAGGGAAGGAAGTAGTGTAGAAGGCTGGTTTACCTGGACTGTATGAAGGGGAATAGTATTTAATAAAGCTGGAAAGGTAAATTCAAGCCAGGCTGTGAAAGACTTTCACTGCCAAGTGGGACTTTGCATTTGATCCAGGAGGTAATAGGGAGCCACTAGATGTTACTGAACAGGGGAATTACATTATCAGACCCAGGCTCTAAGGAGATCTCTTTAGCCGCTTTGTGGAGAATGTAGTGGAATACAGAGAACCCAAAGTTGCCCAACCAAGAGGCTCTTGCAATCTTCCACATTGGCAGTAAGGGCCTTTACTGGGATGGTTGTGGGGTGGCATCCTCAGGCATTGTATTGGTCAGATTTCCCAAACTCCTTTCCTTCCTTCCTTCCTGCCTTCCTTCCTTCCTTCCTCCCTTCCTCCCTTCCTCCCTTCCTCCCTTCCTTCCTTCCTTCCTTCCTGCCTTCCTTCCTTCCTGCCTTCCTTCCTTCCTTCCTTCCTTCCTTCCTTCCTTCCTTCCTTCCT